ACGCATCCCCGCTGCTTAGCAAAACGCCACAAGGGAGTTAAGACCTCCGTTGATCCTAGTTGCTCTAATGTCTGTCGTTGCGAGGCTCCAAAGTCCCCGCTGTTGTCAGAGGTCAAGAGCTCTTGGCTTCTTCTCTGACCACTGCCTTGCTGACTCCACACAATGTCTGGGCCTCAAGCCCCGCGGGCGTCCCGGGGAAGCCGCCGGGGTGATCCGCAGCCCTTCCGCTCACGGCTCCCCATGGCTCAGTTCAGCCTCTGTCGCGGTCGTAGAGGACACGCAGGATGCCAGACGGGGGACCTGCCCCGCCCACGGCGTCTCAGTCGGGAAACCCTCAGTGAGGCCTGGGCAGGCGCCCCTGTGTCCTTCCCAGCTTCCCAGAGGGGGTGACATCTTAACATTTAGACCCTGAGAGAGCTTCATGGACGCATGATATCAGCTAAGTCAATTACAAAACCCCAGTCATGGTTCTTCTTTTCCTTCTTCTTTAATGTAAAAATATCTCAACATTTTCCAAAAAATGGGAAATAAAAATTCATCATCATCACGACCAGGAAGGCCGAAAACCCGTCTCCCCAACCATGTGTTGGACACACGTGCCTGACGTCCCCCTCGAGAGTACAATGCAGTGTAACGCAGGGGGAGGGCTGCAAAGGTGCTGAGGGTTTGCCCAGATTTGCCCCACTTCTACAGGCCACGGCGCCGGGGTGGATGAAGGGCGACTTCCCATCGGCCTGGCTCTCCCTCCCGTCCCTTGCACACTGCTCCAGAATGCCTAACCTAGGGAGATTCTTGGCCGTTTTGGGGAAAGAGTGACGCTGATTTTTTATTTTTATTTTTTTGACTCAGAGGATCACAGAATGAGGAATGAAGTGACTTCGGAGGTGGTCCAGGATGACCTTTTCCCTAATGAATTACATGAACCATACGGAGCCCACTGCGCCTTCCGTAGTGTTTCTGTGATCTGTGGCGACTGCGTGTGTTTAGCGTCTACCGTCGAGTGGCGGAGGGGCCATCTCTGTTAATTCAGGTTGCACGTTCCCGACCCCGACGAGCGCGGTTCGCTAATTATGAGATCCTCCCTTTACGGCTCCATGATGAGGTCTTTTCTCGGTGCCAGACTCCCTTGGGTCTTTCTGGTTTGAAGTTTTGCACGGAAAAGGCTGGGAGGATGTTCACTGAGGGTAGCTGGAGAGGCTCGATGGGGCGCAAAGACCAAGGACTTCGGAGGCCAACAACAATGACAACCGCCAAGAGCTCTTCACTCATTTCCGGCGTTTTGCTCAGCGCCTCGCGATGCGTCATCTCCTCTGGCGCTGTCCCTCCCGGAAGCGGATCTGCATTCACACACGAGGATGTGGGCACAGCAACATCTTCACGGTGGTGTGAGGAGATGGTGGTGGAACCAGGGCTGGGATCGCGGACGACGCGGACGCAGGCTCCCAAGTGCCACGCCGGTATAGGTTCCAATTCCCAATGGGCTAAAATCTACCATAAGGTATTTTTGATGGCCTATCATGGCCAGGACACTTAGTGGCAGTGTGTCCTTGTGGAGATTACATAGTGGCTCTGATTGGTCACCATGTGGGTATTTTGCCTGGTTGTTTTGAGGGCTGGGCACGAATGTAGTGTGACGCAGAGCAGGCGTTCAGTAGCCCGCAGCTGCCACTCGGGGAAACACACCCGTGGTTACCTCGGGGGTCTTCTGGCATTGCTGCGGATTTGGTTTAATTACATTGGACTGTTGGTTACGGAGCCCGAAAGCCCACTGAGCCCCGCAGCCTCTCGGCAGGTGAGTGAGACACCATGTTGGAACCTGTCGTCCCCGTCGGGCAGTGACAGAAAGCCACGTGTGCTTTCTTAGGAGATCACGTGAAATGCAGGAAAAAAAATCCAGAATCATGTATTTAATTGCTGCAGTTATTTAATTAGGCAGGTGACAGCAGGGTTAATGAATCATTGACATGTAAAAAAAGCCATTAGCTCACCGTTTCCATAATTTTATGCCATCAGCCAGAAAGCTGTTTCTTAGGGTAGTTGTACCTTCACAGAATTTTGCAGGGAATAATTTCTGTTGTCATGTTATAAACCAGGTCAGTAAATTCGTGGTATTGCTGATACGGCTTTGGTTTTTTGGCTAACGCTATGCAGGCGTGTATAATTTCCTATATAGAAAGTAATTTTGTATGTCACGTGACAAGAGGGTGACAGTGGACGGACGTGTGCATTACCACAATCTCCAGTGACCTCACTTTTTCCAGGATTCCTCCTGGAGTATCAGAGCTGTTTATCACCTGCCACCGAAGCATTTATCATTTATTCATCTGTCATTCATTCATCCATATTCACGGCATACTTCTCAAACTCCTGCGGTGGGCAGCTCATTGTTCAGGCAGTGGGGTCCTTGGTGGAACATGACGACCGAGGTCCCTGCTCTCAGGAGGCTTTGATTCTATGAGGAGGAACCAATAATAAGTAAATAAATAAACACAAAACTATCAGACAGTGTTACATGCTACGATGGCCATATTGGTCGGGGAGGGTTGCTGAGGAACTGCTTCTGGGTTGACTTCTTAATGCAAGAAAGGGCAAGCTGTGCTAAGACCCGGGAGAACATTCCAGGCCCCAGGTCTAGTGCAGGAACAAGCTTGATGTTTGGAAGAAGGCAAACGCGGGCTGTGGCGTGGGGAGGAAGGGAGGGGTGGGGTTGTCGTGTGTGTGCCGCTGTTTCCTCCACTGGGGTTCTAAGCCAGGGGGCAGCCCATCGCGACGGGTGATTACCAGGACCGCGGCTCCTTGTGGGGAAGGGACTGTGGGGGGCGGGGGGCGAGCTGCAGAGACATGGGGCCGCGGGGCCAGTGTGGCAGCGGTGGGGGCGGCAAGAAGTGAACGCGTCCGGGGATACGGTTTTGAGGCAGAATTGAGAGATGCGGGGTGTAAGGGAGGAGACGACACAGTGGTGTCCCCAGATTTTGTGGTGAAACACATGGGTCTGTGCTGGCACCGGTTCCTGAGACCGGGAAGTCTGGGGACGGTCAGCGGGCTGTGGGAACAGTTGGCGATTCTATCCGGGCCGTGATGAGACTGAGATGCCAGATGGTCTGTGGTCTGTCCCTCTCCATTCTCTCCCCGCCTCCGTCTCTCTGCGTCTCTGCGTCTCTGTGTGTGTTGGGAGACTCATGTTTATTGGATTGACTATTTATCCCTGTGTGGCAGGTACGGCATTGTGCCTTTTATAAAACGTTCTCTCCCCCAAACCCTGCGAGGTGTATGGTCCCCGCTGCAGGCGTTCATAGATGGCAGCTCAGAGGTGAGACAGTCCCGGCAAAGTTACGGACAGTGAGCGCTGGGAGGTGAGCCCCGGTCTGTCCCAGTCCAAAGCCACCGGGCTGCCTCCCAGCTTCGCTCTGCTGTCCCGGTGCCTCTCGGCCAGTTGTCCCCTGCGTCTAATGGTGCCTCAGGCCCTCAGCAGGACGCCGAAGGGGCTCTCCACTGCTCAGTCCCAGTCCTCCTGACCCTTCTCCACCTGCCCCACGTGGACGCCGCCTCCTCGTCTCCTTCAGAAGACCCGGAACAGCACATTTTCCTCTCCTCGTCTAAAAAATAATGCTGGGGAGACCGTGAGATGCCCAAACCTCGTCACCCTTGTTAAGGGTACGTGCAGCTCACTCTTACACCCCAGGGTGAACCCCGGGTACGCGGGTCGGTGTTATTCTTGGCGAAGGAACTTTATAGATACTTTCACTCACTGGGGTGATTCAGGAGAGCTGCGCTAACATCACAGGTTGGGCAGTCTCTGTGTGTAAATGAGCTGGGCACCATGGCAGGGGCAGCGAGTGGAGGGGGACCGGACATCCAGACAGGTCAGGCCGGGAGGCCCAACCGGAGGCCCTGGGGGACACCCTCTACCGCTGTGCCCGCTGTGCTGGAGCAGGTGTGACGAGAGGCTAGGTAGGCCCTGAATGCCGAGTCTCACTCAGCCGTGGAGCCTGTAGAGGTGGGAGGGGCTTGTGTCTCAGGGGCGGAGCCTCTAGAGGTGGGAGGGGCTGGTGTCTCAGGGGCGGAGCCTCTAGAGGTAGGAAGGGCTGGTGTCTCAGGGGCGGAGCCTGTAGAGGTGGGAGGGGCTGGTTGTCAGGGGCGGAGCCTCTAGAGGTAGGAGGGGCTGGTGTCTCAGGGGTGGAGCCTCTAGAGGTGGGAGGGGCTGGTGTCTCAGGGGCGGAGCCTCTAGAGGTGGGACAGACAAGGAACGTAGCGGGGGAGCGACTTTCAGAGGAGGTCACCGTGATGGAGGGGCCTCGAGACTGTGTGGGGCCGTGGCCTTGATCCCGCCCCACCCAGGCTGTCAATGATGACAGTAGGACCCCCCGCAGAGGGATTTTGCCTGCCCGTGGCAGGGCTCAGACATCCTTCTCCTCCCCGCTGTCGGGGCCCCAGGGGATGTGAGGTTGAAGCTGACCAGGCCCCGGGGGGCGGCTCAGCCCCCAGGTTGGAGTCACAGGAAAGAGCAGGGTCCGGGGAGCAGGGGGGGTGTTGTCCCCTGCCACGGGACGTCCTAGCTGGAACCCCACGGGCTGACTTAGGGGCCACGCGCCCATTCTTGGGGCCGCAGTCTGGCCCAGCCGGGCGCCTGGGGAGCACATCACGGGAGCTTGCTGGTGTTGCTACTGGCCTGTCCTCAGCACAACGGCCGGGTCTGTGTCTCTGGACTTCTGTGACCTCCCGGCCGCCGCGCTCCGCGCCCTCGCACCCGACCTTCCGGCCTCGGAACTCACAGCCCTCTCGCCCCGTCCCCATGAGGTCACCTGCCCTGCGTCTGGGAGTCCCGGCCCCTCCCAGCAGGGAGTCTGCTCCCCCGGAGTCCTTCCTGGGTCCTCCCCTGTGCTCCCTTAGCAAGGCCTCCCGCCCCCCTGCACTGCTGTTTTGGGGGCGGTGCTGGGCAAACCGTATTTAGCAAGTGGTTGTCTGAACTGAGTCCCGAGGCTTGCCTTTCCTTTTTGCAGATCAAACCGGTGGTACATTGTGACCTGAATGTGCCTTCCAGGTGGCAAACCTTCCAGCGAACGTCCCGGCACGTCAAGTGAGTAAGGCCTCGCGGGCGACAGATCACTACTTGCTGTGGCTCCTTAAAGATAAAGTTCCAGTTGGACTCACCGTCACCCCCTCTCCCCTCCTCTCCTCCCTCCTCCCTTCCTCCCCCTCCTCCTCCTCCCCCCCTCCCCTCCCCCTGTGCTCCTCTCCTCCCTTCTCCTTCTCTCTCTCCGACAGGGACACCTGTATGATTCAGCCTTTCAGGTGCCGTGTATCCTTTCTTCTCTTTGAACCTTGATTTTGGAAATCAATCCAGTTGCCAGGCTGTTGAACAGTTTACTTGGGGCTGGAAGGGCGAGGGCCTCACACACAGAATTTAGCCTTAGGCTTTTCACTTTTTAAAAAACATCTAGCAGTTGTCGCTGCTGGACGTGGAAAGGACACTTTACAAGTTATTTTCCCACCACGAGCAAGACCTGTAGGGTTACCACACTTCCCGCTCAAGCGTTGGTGCAGGACTGGAGTGTGGCCCTGGGAGCCACAGCCGGGGCTATAGCTGTAGAGGTGCCCGGGGCAGTACGTCCGGGCTGATGGAGACAGCTTTGTGGGCCAGTCTGCCTTACGTTCTGGGGCTGTAGAAAGAACACACTGGGAAGCAGAAGGACGCAGGAAACACACCCTGTTTATTGGCCAAACGTGGCCCCTGCCCGTCCCCTCAGAACCTCGACGACCACGTCTGTAAAATACGTCCCCTTACGTGTCTGCAAGGCGCAGCCTTCAGTGGTGGGGTCTTTCCCTGCACCTTCTACAAATCTGAGAGCTGCTTGGACATGACGGGAGGCACAGCATTTCCAAATTTTGTGAAGGGCAGCTCTTTCTGAAGAATGTATACAAATCTCACGGTCCTTCCTGGCAAAGAACCTATGTTTTGTTTTGTTTTTTTTTTTGTTTTTTTTTTGCATGAGCCAAGACATCAGTGATTCTCACTTATTTTGACGGACAAGTTTTGTCTGTTACAGACCATTACCCCCGGCAGCTTGTGCCTCGTCCTTCATATTGGTGTGCTAGAAATTCCACTAGATGGACCCAAATATCCATTCAAATGCAGTGTCTTTTCTACAAAGACCTGATCATGTTTGCTTGGAGACCTTGTAACTGCAAAAACAGGCAAACAAAACAGTTGCGATGGGTTCCGGTGGCTTCGATGTTGAAGGGAGAAAGTGGTTTCTCCCTTCCTCACAGATGAGGGGGGGCGGGGTGCTGGGGGGTCACGGCTGAGTTTGGACCCGGAGCCCGGCGCTCCCCTGCCTGCCTGGGTCTCCGCAGAACGGAGCTGGTGAGGCCACGTGGGTCTGAAGTGTGGAGGCTGAGGTGCGGATTTATGTCCTGCTTCTGCCGCTAAGCAAGCTGTGACGTGACAGGTGTTGTGACGGCGGATCATCGTCACCTAAGATCCGCTCCTAGATCTCTGTGCTATTTCCTGTTTAAACAAAATTGAAAATATTTCCTATTTTAAAAACTCGAGGGGCACCTGGGGGGCTCAGTCGGTTAAGCGTCTGATTCTTGATCTCAGCTCAGGTCATGATCTTGTGCTTTGTGAGTTCGAGCCCCACATCGGGCTCCACACTGTCAGTGCAGGCCCTGCTTGGGATTCTCTCTCTCCCTCTCTCTTTGCCCTGCCCCCACTTGCTCTCTCTCTCTCTCAAAAAAAAAAAAAATCTTAAAGAATTTAAAATATGTCCTACTTGAAATATTTAAAATATTTCCTATTAGGGACTCTTGGGTGGCTCCGTCGGTTAAGCATCCGACTTTAGCTTAGGTCATGATCTCGTGGTTCGTGGGTTCGAGCCCTGTGGTGGTTCTGTGCTGACAGTTTGGAGCCTGGAACCTGTTTCGAATTCTGTGTCGCGCTCTCTCCCTGCCCCTCCCCCACTCACACTCTGTCCCTCTCTCTCTCTCTCTCAAACATAAATAAACATCAAAAAAATTAAAAATATTTCCTATTACACACCAATGAGCACATTATAAGGTGTGTTGAGTAGTAGGTTTATGCCTTTAACTTCTTCTCTTATTTCAAAGTTTTTTAAAAAATGTAACTATCTTTTTGTGGCCCGAAAAATCTGTGCCCATGGCCATATATAGCTCTAAAAGTTCTATGTTCAAAGTGGGTGGGGCCCCCCCCCCCCCGCCTTGTATCCTTGTAAGACAGGCTGGGAGATCCAGGCTTCGGCAAGTATATGTATCCTACAAATACCTCTGTGTATCCTCCTTTTTCTCCCCACATGATGCATCTTGGAGGTGGTTCCATAGGAGCCCATGTGGATAAGCTGTGCTTTAAAACAATGGCTACACAGCATTCCAAATTTCAGACGTTCCCTCATCTAACCACGCCTGGCTTTTGCCCAGTGCTCAGGGGCTCCTGCCTGTCCATCACCTCTCATGGCAGACTCTCCCCGGAAACCGTTTTTGGGCACTTAGGTGGGGTCGGTCATCTGTCGGGTGGCGGATGGACCGTCTGATCCGTGAAACCGGGCAAAGCAAGGGGTCTAGTTCATTCTTCAGTTTGGGAGATGTGTTCCATCCCGCATGCCCTCTGAACTTGTAATTTCCTAATCTTTATGTTGGAAATAACACTTACTTCCCTTCCTTGTCTTTAAAAATTACATTCTTATTATAAATAAATGTGGGAACTTCCAAGAGTGTGAAGAATAAAATAAACATCCCTTATCTCACTCCTCAGACAACTGCCACTGGCCTGAAGAACGCTTACCTTCAGTGTTCTCTTTGTGCCTTCTGTCGTGTTTTTTACAGCATCCGTTATAGTTGACCATTTCCCCCCGTAAATGCAAATCCTGCATAAACAATTTTAAACTGCTGCACAATTTATTATCGTATGGCCGTGCAACGATTTACGTAACATTCCTGGGTACCTGGACATGCAGGTTGGTTTTATATTTTCGATTCTATACATAATCCTATGGGAAACATCTTTGCATGTAATTCTGTTTCGTTTCCATGGGCTGGATTTCACAAAGTGGGAAGAATGGGTCAATAGTTATTGATCACAGACGTCTCATCAGTCTGTGTTACTGACTCGCCCCCGAGGAAGACTGTGCACACTTTTAGCTGCAGCCACAGTGTATGTGCGTGTGTCTTAGGTCTGCAAGAGATGCCAAAATTTGGGGGGGGGGCGGACACAATTCAGTTCATAAGAGTTCCTATTTCCCCACACTCAGGTAAAGAGTGTACGTTAAATATCTTTAAAGGTTTAAGCAAAAACACAACATGACCCTGTTTAAACATTTATTTCCTGTATTATTATTAGTGACCCATGTTTGGAAAGAATTCTTTTTTTTTTTTTTAATTTTTTTTTTCAACGTTTATTTATTTTTGGGACAGGGAGAGACAGAGCATGAACGGGGGAGGGTCAGAGAGAGAGGGAGACAGAGAATCGGAAACAGGCTCCAGGCTCCGAGCCATCAGCCCAGAGCCTGACGCGGGGCTCGAACTCACGGACCACAAGATCGTGACCTGGCTGAAGTCGGACGCTTAACCGACTGCACCACCCAGGCGCCCCGGAAAGAATTCTTTTGGCATAAGGAAAACCAATGGATGGAAACATTGTAGCAAATCTATTGTGGGCGTAATATCACATGAATGCATTGTAATATAACTTGTGCAGAACATTCTTTTCTAGGGTTATTTTGGGGCAATATTTTAAATATGGGAGAAGGGGGTTTCTGCATTGATTGGAAGCCCCTTGGTACAGCGCATTAGCAAAGAAAGTGGATTCTCTGTATTTTTTGCACAGATTAAAGTTTATATTTGATCTGAAAAGGCGATGCATTCATCCAGTTTTAAATTATTTGCATTACAGAAAAACAGTAACAATGAAGCAACAGCAACCACAAATAATTATGTAAAAAATTGAAAACTAGAATTGTAAAATTGAGCACCTTCGTGTTAAACACTATTCATCAGGGCGCCTGGGTGGCTCAGTCGGTTAAGCGTCCGACTTCAGCTCAGGTCACGATCTTGCGGTCCGTGAGTTCGAGCCCCGTGTCAGGCTCTGGGCTGATGGCTCGGAGCCTGGAGCCTGCTTCCAAGTCTGTGTCTCCCTCTCTCTCTGCCCCTCCCCTGTTCATGCTCTGTCTCTCTCTCTCTCAAAAATAAGTAAACATTAAAAAAAAATTAAAAAAATATTAAAAAAAAACACTATTCATCACTTTTAGACTTAAAGAAACAAGGCTCATAGTTTACATGATTTTAGTATGAGTTACAAGAGCGTGTAACTGTTGCCAAGTGGCTTGGACCCGGGCGGCCTGGCCTCATTAGCAGGAGAACTTTGCCTCGAGTACCCCCCCCCCCCACTCCCCACCCGGACACGTATGGAAAATAAAATAAACCCGCTGGGATTCCAGCAAAGCTGCCTCCAGACTGCACGGGTGAAACCAATTGTTTCTACTATCTTTTTGGAGGATCGCACGTTATTTCCTCGGGGACACTGTCTTGGCCCGTGGAAAGAGAAAGTGACTGCACTTTTAATGGCAAAACCCGCCTTTTGTTTGCCAAACGGGCACCATTTTCTTCACTTTACCCGCCATGGTGGAGGCATATTATTTAAAAAGCGGAGTTCTGTCCTGTTCATCTGGGCGTATTTTATTCCATGAAGAGAAGTTTCTGGGCGTCGTTGCAGCATCACCGGACTTCCAGCATCGGGCGCTTGGTGACGGTCCCTCTGCAGACGCAGGCGGTGTGTGTGAGGGCTGCCTGGCGCATTGCGTGCTGCGTATGGCTCTGTCATTCTAGATCTTTCTTTGAATTTCCAATGTTTCCCCCTCAAGTGTGAGGTACTAATGAATGCTTTTTTTTTTTTTATTCTTACAGTGTTTTCACAAATGGAAGACTATTTATCCCACCTGTAAAAATTATCATACCCAAATTCAGTCTGACGGAATGGAATAGCGTGCTGGCCATGATTGGGGAAAAAGTCTTCCCTCTAGGAGGCGTTCAAAAGTAAGGCTCTGTCACCTGGGGGAGACCCGGTCACAGTGTGGGGATGTCCTGCCGGGACCAGCAAGGGCTACAATGCTCTCTCATTAACTCCGATTTTAATTCTTTGGGGGCAGACATTATTTCTTGTCCCTTTACATACTTATTTTTGGCCAGTTTCTTTCATTTTTCATGGAACAAAGCTTATTGAACATCTACTATGTGCTAGGTGTGGTGAATGGGGTGAATGAGGCCATGGGGATGGACAGAGGTGGGATGGACAGTGGTGGGTGGACAGAGTGGGGACAGAGGTGAAGTGACCATGGGGGTAAACAGAAGTGGGATGGACAGAGGTGGCGTGGACAGAGGTGGGAGGGACAGAGGTGGCGTGGACAGTGGTGGGTGGACAGAGCGGGGACGACAGAGGTACAGTGGCCATGGGGCCAGGGAGAGGCAGGGTGGCTGTGGCTGTTATGGGGGTAAATCTGGGGACAGTTTGGTGCACTTAGACCAAGGGCCTGGTGTGGATCAGAGGGTCAGAGTGGACCAGGAGAGAGCAGGGGAGCAGCAAGGCTAGCAGGTTGCAGAGGGAAAGGTTAAAGCCTCAGTGTTGGGAACGCCGCTGGGATAAGGAGGCCCCACTGTGGGAAGGAGCTGACAAAGTGTAGGGAAGACACAAGCCTTCGAAACTGAAAAGTAAGGGGTGTGGAGTGGTCCTGAGTGTTGGAAGGACCACTTTATGGACAGCAATGGTCTCCAGGTGGCCTTGGGTCGGAAGAGCCAAAACATTTACTCCTAATTCACTTTCCGTCAATGGTCTCTCTCGGGGGCACATTGCAATGTAAGCGACTGATTTACCATCAAGAGCTGTGACACCAGCGATGAACACTGAGGGTCTGTTGGGAGCAGGACCTAAACTGTTGTCGGGAGCGTCGTTAACCTAGGGAGGGTGGTGAGTCACAGGTGACCCTGCACGTGCTGGGGGAGTGAGCTGTCACCTACAGACCAGATGATTCCAGAATGCAGTTATAAATGCCAACGTTTTATTCTGAAAGAAAGAGAGTCGCGTGGAGGAGACACTTGTGCACGCTTCCGGAAGGAGTCAGGGTCAGCAATCCCGTGGGTCACACTTGATGTGGCAGAGGCGAGGCAAGGAAACACGATATTTGGAGGGAAAAGAGGACGTTAGATTAATAAGCCTACTTAGTCTTTCTCCCCTTAGTTCTCTCCGGGTGAGGACGTCCGTGGGGACAAACACACAGGCGCCGGTCTCTTCCCTGGGGGGCTCCCCTCGCTTGAGCTGGCCTGCAGCTCCTGGTACATCTGGGACATCTGAACGGGGCTTCCTCAGGACCCAGCTTTCCTGCAGCCCCACCACTGGGGACAGCTCCTTTCCTGCACCGCCCCTCCCCCCAGCCGGCCGGGTTCCCGCCGGGGTCCCAGAGTCACATCTGGACTCTATCTCCTCTGGTGTCAGTTCTGAACTGATTGCTCTATCTCTCCCCTCCCTGACAAGAACATAAGCCTGTTTTCCTGCTCCTCAGTCTCCCCCTCAACAACCCCGGCCCCGGTGCTGAATTCTGGGTTATCGTGAACATGTTCTCTCTGATCGAACTTCACTTAATGGCAACAGGGATCGTGCCAAGGCGCGTGGTCGCCCTGCTTCACAGATCCCTCCCAGCGTCTCTGCAATCGCTCTTTCCTTTTTATTTAACCCCTTCCTGTAGAAACGTTCTTACTGTGAGTCCCTGTGGCCCATCTTCCAAGGCCTTGTCAAGGTGACGGTACTTTTATCAGGCCTCCCGTTTAACTGAGGGTTTGGCTCGCTTCGAACTTGTTTCTTCTCAGATTTTGAGAAGATGTCACTTTGTTGTCTCGGGCCTTCGCGGCTGCTGTTGAGAAATCCGGTGGTGCGTGTGTGGTGTGTCAGTGGGCTCTTGCGTGGGGGGAGCCCTTCGGATGCCGGCCTGCGTCCTTAGAAGTCCCCCTGACGGTGCCTACGTGAGAGTTTTTCTGTGACCTCTCTGTCTTTGATGTCTATTGACTTTCAGTTTGAGGTCCTCCCTCTCTCTCTACTTCTGTGAAATTCATCTTCATTACTTCTGTACATTTTTCTTCCTTTCTGCTTTAAGTTATCTTTCGAGATTCTTACTTCCTGGATGTTGGCATTCCTACTCATCCACACGTCTCAGCTTTTCTCTCAGACACGTTCTATCTCTCCCCCTGCTTCCCTCTGGGAGACGCCCTCGATTCGGAGTCCCCACAGCGGCTTGGGCCTCGTCCGCTCCCCCCCCTGCTCCTCGTCTCCCCGTCCTCCGGGATGTGCTCTTTGTATCTGCTTTTCTAGTTGTTTCTTTGCCACACTTCCTTGTTGTTTCATATTGGTAGCACCTGCCCTTATTTCGTCTATAATGTTTTTCGTGTTTATGTCAAATTCCTGGCCCATCCGATCCAACGCTTCCGCTCCTGGTGGAATCCACCAGACACTGTGTGCGGGTCGGAACAGGGTCTGCGGGCAGGGGCCCGGGCACTGCCACCGCTCAGTCTGCCCGCCTCCCTGTGCCCCCTGTCCACTCAGTGCTTCCCTGACTTACTCCTGGGGACGTCACCAGCTGTGCGGTCCTCCGGGGAGCCCAGGCACTGGCTGTCCCAGGGCAAAATGGCAGGAGAAGAACAGAGTTCCAGGCATTGCTTTTCACGTGGAAACCTTGTGCTCCTGGTCGAGGCCACCTGCTGCCCACACAGCTCCCCGTGGCTGCTCATGGTTGTCTCCTGTCTGGAAGGTCCTGTTCCCCCGGGGCTGGTCTAGGGCTGCCGCTCCCCTGGCCCCCGGAGCAGCATGGGCATTGGCCGGCGCTGTTAGGAATGCGTGTTCCGGCCTCATCCTAGACTCAGGAGTCAGAGGCTCTGGGCGTGGGGCCCGGCTGTCTACACGGTGGCAAGCCGTCCAGGTGGTTCTGATGCTAAGGTCTGGGGGAGATGGGTGGAGGGCAAGGGCGGTTCTGTGGTTTCTACCCGCTCGGCCTGCCCTTCTCCCCTTCCCACTCTGGTGCTCGCGGCTCCGGTTCACGATCGCCTCGCACGCCTGCTGTGGCAACCTGAGCCTCCTCTTACGGGACAGGCTCCTTTCCTCCGTCCGCATCCCCAACGGTCAGCTGACCATTGCTCACACTCAGCTCCTGTCCACTCGTCCACAGCGACGTCCACTCACTGCGGCAAAGTCCATGATAAATTCCTCGCCCCAGAGTTCCAGGCTCCAGACTTTGATGCGCAAATTCTGTGTGTGCGTTTCACACTTCAGTGACCATCAGCCCCCGTGTTCTGGCTTTTGGCCCCGGCCCCTCCTGCGACCCCAAATGCTTTATGCATCTGCACGTGAAGAAATCTTACCACATCCTCACCCCACTGGCGCCCCCACTTTTGTGAGGCCTACAGTTGATTCCAGGTGGGTCCTCCTCTTGGAAGGCCGGATCTTTGCCCTTCTCTGGTCACATTTCTGTTCCTAGGTTTGTGTACAAGCCTTGGTTTTGGGGAAGCAGTGACTTCCTTACCCGTATTTTTATCCCAGACAGTGCCTCCCTCACTGTCTAGTGTGTGATAGATGCTCAGCATGGAGTGGATTGAATAATTTCTTTTTTAAAAGATGTTTATTTATTTACTTTGAGAGAGGGAGGAAGAGAGAGAGAGAGAGAGAGAGCGAGCGCACACACAAGCTGGGGAGGGGCAGAGAGAGAGAGAGGGAGGGAATCCCCAGCAGGTTCTGCACGGTCAGCACAGAGCGTAATGTGGGCTTAATCCCACGAACTGTGAGATCATGACCTGAGCTGAAATCAGGAGTCGGACGCTGAACCGACTGAGCCACCCAGGCGCCCCTTAAATAATTTCTCAAGTGACTGAATTAGTGAATGAATACTTGCCAAACAAAGACTATAGGATAAAAAGTAGACAAATATTAGTCTTTTGGTGCTCATAAAAAGGCGCATTATTGGCTAATAAATACTGGTTTGTTTTCCAAGAACTGTTACAACAAAATAAGCCGATTTGTATTAATTTTTGCTGTTATTAGTTAAAATTAATTGAACACCAACCAAGAGCTTAAAATGTTCTCAAGGGCCCCTGAGCACTTGTACGTAATTAAAAATACACTTTAATTAAACAGGCTAAAAATGGAAGGCAAGCCTGACCCTGGAAGGGCAGCTCCCACAGGCTTTAATTAGCTTGTCTGGACTTCACTTGCTTAGAGTTCACCAGCTCGCCCGCCGGTAGCCCACGTCCCGGTCATACTGTCTGCAGACGCCCCCGGTCCCGAGATCGGTGCTCGAAAGTCTCTGGCCCACTTCTTCTTCCTTTATTCACAGATTATTTACCATGAATGGGCATCTTCTGGACAACTCCAAGGATCTGCAAGATAACCACTTTTACGTGGCGGCAGGACCGGAGACCTTCAAATATTTCCCTTACTGGAAATCCTCTAAGGTGCCCAGGGAGGTCCAACGGTGAGCACGTTTCACCCCTTTACTGCCTGGGTGGGTAAAATCTGCCTTTTCCCCCAGGATTGTCCCCGTGCAAGGCCTGTTCAGCTATTGGCTGTTTTCCTGTAGTGAAACTTGACATTCTTGTTTTTTTTTTTTTTTTAATTTTTTTTCAACGTTTTTTATTTATTTTTGGGACAGAGAGAGACAGAGCATGAACGGGGGAGGGGCAGAGAGAGAGGGAGGCACAGAATCGGAAACAGGCTCCAGGCTCTGAGCCATCAGCCCAGAGCCTGATGTGGGGCTCGAACTCATGGACCGTGAGATCGTGACCTGGCTGAAGTCGGACGCTTAACCGACTGCGCCACCCAGGCGCCCCTTGACATTCTTGTTTTATAAGTGGCACGGTTTTGGATTTTCAAAATTAGGTGTGGGGGGACTCCTGTGGTTTGATATATTCACGGGGACAGTAAGCCCTCACGTTGAATGCGCTGTCTTTTCTCTGGGGACACTGGGGGGTCTTAGAGAGAGGAGTCTCAGTGCGCAAACCAGTCGTAGCCCTGGCCCCGAGGCACAGGCGTGAGAGCCCAGCGCTCCCTCCGGCGCCCTGTTCGTTTGGTCAGTTTCTCCTGGTCTGAGGTCGAGAGTCTGACACCTTTCACTGGTCTGTGAAATCACAGTGGTGACTTTTATGGTGGGTCCCGCCCCGGGCTAACAGGTGCACCAGGGCGTGTGCTTCTGGACATGTGGGAACGTCTGCAGGGAAGATGAAGGTGTTGGTGGGAGCTCCCGTCCCGTCACCGGAGAGGAGAGGGCTGGCTGTCCCTTCTCCGTGCATTTTGCTCTCTCCGCCGTCGCTGTCTGGAACAGGCCAGCCAAGCTCCAGGAATTAGTGGACAACGTTGTCCTGTAGGCTCGTGCCTGAGGGACGCCCAGCGGCTTCACCCTGGACCTGCTTGCCCAGAGGCCCGCACTGATGCTCACGGGGACGGGTGTGGAGTCCCTGTCTGCCTGCAGTTCTCACGGTTCATGGACCTTGAAGTCACCTGATAAGGCGTGTGACTTGCGTCCTCAGGGCGCCGTGACCTTTGACGCTTCCTTAGAGAGACTTCAGTGCTCCACCCACCTTGCTTCTCGGTTGTGTGTGTGCTGGAGCCTCAGTATTCCCTGCTCCAAATGCCGTGGGACCGCCAACAGTCCAGAACACTTCCTGACTTTTCTGACATTGTGTTGACAGGGACGGGAACCTGGTTGTTAGTCTGGGGCTCTCAGCGGCTACAGCTCCTGGTGAGCTCGTGTGTGTTCGTACGGGGCGGGGGGGGGGGGTCCAGGTTCAATGGTGGGTCAGGAAGGACGTGACCTGCAAGACTGGAGTTCAGAGGTATGTACTGATCCAGATCCTCAATTTTTTGTTCCAAATTAAAGCCCCGGCATTAGGGCTAAGGCTGAGATCGTTGCCTTTGGGCCCTGGAAGAAGAGAGGGCGGGGCGTGGGATGACACACAGGCCGCCTCACCGATCTGCCCTTGAGCTGCAGGGGGACAGGCCAGCCACGGCCTTTGTCGCCTGTCCTGGAAGGCAGGGCTCTGGTGCCTGGGGTTCAGGTGCCCCCCTCCAGGGCACATGGAGCCCTCTCCCGGGGGTCCATCAGAGGCAGTGTTTAACTCGGGCGCCCGCGCCCGTTTCTGCACCTGGAAAGTTCCCGATTCCCGGGTCTGGCTGGGAGGAGCGGTTCCCAGCTGGTGGTGGGATTTTGCAGCCTCGTCCCGGGGTGTGTTTGAGCCACACGCAGCCGCAGCACAACTGTTTGAGGACCTGCCAGGGCCCTTCCCTGGGGTTGCTTCCTCGGCACGGTTCCTACGGTCATTGTCTCGAGCAAGGAGAAGGAGCTGTCAGAGCTCGTCTCGTGCTGGGACAGGCAGATGGGTTCACCCCCACCCGCCCCATATGTTCCCTGCCCGGAGCCTGGGCTCCCAAGACACTGCCAAGGATGGTGTCTGTGGCGACCTTGTGCCCGTGTGCGCTCCTGTGCCATTAGGGTTTTGACTTGAAGGGAGAGAGTGGCCTCTTTCGTCCTGTCCACAGACGATGACCCCGCGGCAGGTGGGCAGGTTAGGGTCCTGCCCGCGTGCCTGGCAGCTCAGCCATGTCCCGAGTTTATTGACGTGCTAATTCTTTGGTGACCGTCCTAATTGCGTGGTGGGTCGAAACACCTTAGGGGCTGTTGAAATGAGTCGAATGGTTCTCTCTGTGTCCCCTGCTCCCCACCCGAGCTGAACCCTGAACTGCGTCGGTCGGTTGCTTAAATATCTTTCTCCTCGCCAAAGAGGTTGGGGCTCGGGAGGAAGAGCGTCCGCAGAGCTGCTAGGAGACTGAAGTCCATTCCCGTACACGCTGTGGGCCAGGGAGGTGCCCATCGGCCGGGAAGCCGGTGCCAGGAGTGTCCCTCCCGTGCATGCCAGCGTTGGAGGTCAGCGCCCCTGCACGGGGATCCGGAGCGGGGTGTGTGCCTCTGCACCACGGTGGCGGTTAGACAAGGGGTCTGTCACGTGGTGGAAGGAGGCTGGGCTGGGTTCTGGACGGGCTTGGGGTCTCTGTTCTTCTCCTGATCAGCAGCGCGGCTTTGACCAAATCCTCAAGTCTCTGAGCCGTTCGTCCTCTCCAGCCCAGGGAGGACGTGATACATGTGCCACAGGTCACTGCCAGAAATCGTGTTTGTGGGAGTGACTGTCGTTTGTCAAAAACCTCAAACGTGTGGGTGCCCAGGTGGCTCAGTGTGTTAAGCGACCAGCTGTTGGTTTTGGCTCGGGTCATGATCTCACGGTCCGTGGGTTCGAGCCCTGCGTCGGGGAGCCCGCTTGGGAGCCTCTCTCCCTCTCTCGCTGCCCCTCCAACACTTGCGTGCACGCTCTCTCTCAAAAAATAAAAAGACTTAAATTTAACAACCTCAAAATGTTAGGTTTCCCCCCGTGACTGTATGAAAGCTTTTGGACAGAGGGGCCCATGAGCCTGCTCCACATGGTGAGTGGAGATTTTCCAAGGTCTCCGGGAAGGAAACTGAGCAAACCTCGCTGGGGCCGTTTCTGCTCCTGAGACCGGGGAACAGCTGTGGACGTGAGCCTGGGGCCGTCAGGACACTGGACAGGCCTTCCCCGTGGCCTCATCTTCCGGAAGACCACGGCTGTAGTCTACGTTCTCAGAAAGAGGCTTTTGGCTGATCTTTACCGATTTCTAGCTGACTATCGTTTGTCTTTCAGAAAGTATGCAGACATCGAGAAATACTCAAGAGAAAAGAAAAAAGTAAGTACTTTTCACACAGTGAAGTGGAAGCTGTGGATGGCCGTGGTGTCCTTGACCTTGATAAGGACGCCTCCCTGGAGAGGCCCCGCGGTGGGGACCCAGACTTCTGGGCACAGTGTTGGGTGCTGGGCTTGCCCCCTGTGCGTGTGGGGAATGAGGCGTTGGAGCTGTGGGCGTAGAACCGGGAGGTACACGGAGATGTCTGTGACATACACACAGTGAATGTGAGGAGGAAGATGTGTGGTGTGGGGACAGACAGGAGGGAGGGCGTCAAGCCTGGTGTGGCTGCCCTGAGCCTGAGGACAGCTGGGAGGGGGCGTCTCAGGGCTGAGGCACAGCTCACTGTGTGTGTGTGTGCGTGCCTGTGTGTGTTGCACATAAAGTACGAGAAGCATGGCCAGCAGGTGTCAGGATAAGAGCCTGGATGGGCAGGTAGAAGCCAGGTCTTGGGGGCCATATGGGTCTTTGTCACCTGTGTATACGATGACCACATATCCCCACCGTCTTATAAAAACTGCATTTCAGTGGCTCTACTGACCTTAGGATTTGCTCAGTAAAGCTGTCGAGCATCTACTGTTTGCCTGTTCCTGGCTGCCCAGCCCCTGTGCTCAGGGACCCTCCGTACTGAGACTTCCCAGCCTTGAGACCCGTCTCCCCACGTATCGACCTCTGTTTTCCGGTATCTGGTGGCCGGCCCTTGGAGTGGCTTTTCTCCTGGTGCAGCTTGGATTTCATAACCACTGTCTTACCCACGCTCTTGGAAATGTTTGGGCTTCCCGACCCACGAGCCCCCGTGGCATCTGCCTGGCGAGAGTCCAGCTGTGGACGGGCCCAGAACCTTGCCCGTCCACACTCGCGCCGAAGGAGCTCGGGGTTGCTGGCGATGATAACACGACTGACCTGACTCTTCTCGCTGAGATCACTCTTTTCCCACCTGCCTTCACTGAGAAGCCTCACTGCTCACAAACGCTTTTCGAAAGGGGTTTGGTAAATTTTGTTAGGGTTTTTTGCCTGTCTGCTCATAGAGGAGGTGAGCCTGGAATACTTCTTTTCCGTGTTGTTCTTGCCTGGCTTTTGGCATCAAGGTTTTCCTGAATCGACTGTTCTTGTTTCGGTAGCTTCCCGAGCTGAACGATCGTCTCATTTATTTTCGATTTTCTTTCTCTACGGGCTGAGTTTAGCATTAAGTGTTTGTTGAATGAATGAAAGAACGAGAATCATTGAGAGCACGAAAACGATAGATGTGATTCTGCCCTAAGGGTGCGTTTCATCTGGTTAGGATACATGACACATGGCCTTGTCTCATCATAGAAGGGGCGTGTAAATGAGTCACATGCACAGGGTGATGGCTTGCGGGACGGAGTAGGCGACACGTGGAGATCGGCAAACCCAGTGCAGGTCCTCGAGGGGTCAGAGAAGGGGGCAGCTGTTTCGGGGGACAAAGAACCCACGTGGGTGTGCACACCATTCCAGCCTCATGGAGTTTCCCTCAGGTTGCCTTAACCAGCTCGCGGGTGGTGTGGGCACTGGGTTTGAAGTTGATACTTGGCGTGAATGCTACAACCTCAGAATCCCATACTTCCGTGGTTTTGGAAGCTTCTGAGCAGAGGCTGAAGCAGTAGTTTGGGGGGGCGGGTAGCCCTTACTCGTTTTAGTTATGCCCTCATCTCATTATGTTGTCGGGTCCTTAAGCTAGGGATAGAATTTTCTCTTCCTTTTATTAAATATTTGTTCTATTTATGGGGCGCCTGGGTGGCTCAGTCGGTGAAGCGTCCGACTTCCGCTCAGGTCATGATCTCGCGGTTCGTGAGTTCGAGTCCCGCGTCGGGCTCTGTGCTGACAGCTTGGACCCTGGAGCCTGCTTCGGATTCTGTGTCTCCCTCTCTCTGACCCTCCCCCGCTCACGCTCTTTCTCTATCTCTCTCTCAAAAATAAATAAACGTTAAAAAAAAAAAAAAAGAAAGAAATGGCTCAGGAGAGCCCGACTCTGGACGTAAAATCTCAAGAGGGTTCGAGCAATTTATGTCTGTTACACTGTCCTCTTGCTTTATGCACAGGTACGGGATGTGATAAACACCTCTGTCTGAAAGTTCTCCAAGGGCTTTTCCAGGAAGCAGAAAACAGAACCCCCGGGTTACAGGGGAGCAGTGTGACATAGTTTAGCTGGTAGCTTGCTTCGTCTCTTAGCAACACGTAAGATAACCACGTGCCTCATGGCATTTGGTCCCATGAAACGAGAAGAAAAATACCAGGCAGGGGCACTGGCATGTCTGGGTGGTTGTGGATGAGAGAGCGGGAGAGGTCAGGGTGGCCCAGGGCTCAGTTAAGTTGAGCTGTGACAGTTTCAGTCCTCTGAAAATAACGAATGAATCTATTCTTTGTTTTTTTTTTTTTAAATGTTTATTTATTTACTCTGAGAGAAAGAGAGAGAGGTAGAGAGAGGGAGGGAGGGAGAGAGAGAATCCCAAGCAGACTCTGTCTGCACTGTCAGCACAGGCCCCGATGAGGGTCTTGAACCCACAAACTGTGAGATCATGACCTGAGCCAAAACCGAGTCGGACATGTAACCGACTGAGTCACTCAGGCACCACTGAACAGACATATTCTAATTTTGTTCTAGCAGATTCACTTTTTTTTTTTTTTTAATTTTTTTTTTCAACGTTTATTTATTTTTGGGACAGAGAGAGACAGAGCATGAACGGGGGAGGGGCAGAGAGAGAGGGAGACACAGAATCGGAAACAGGCTCCAGGCTCCGAGCCATCAGCCCAGAGCCTGACGCGGGGCTCGAACTCCCGGACCGCGAGATCGTGACCTGGCTGAAGTCGGACGCTCAACCGACTGCGCCACCCAGGCGCCCCTAGCAGATTCACTTCTACAGAAGCTGCATTTACTGTGATTTTGTATCCATTACTTTCCAAAGAAGCGAGGCTAAGTTAATAAATGTTTAAAGCTGCACTCCTATATTAAAATGAGTATTTGAATGTACAAGCCTCCGCAAGATATCAGTGACTAATTAGTAAGCATTGTATTTATATCACATCCACAACCAGACCACTAATATTACCTACTTCTCTTTTGGGCACAGAACACAAAAAACGTTGTCTGTGAACAGAAATGGAGAGAGAAACACTGACAAGTTAAAGCCGTGTGTGTGTGTGTGTGTGTGTGTGTGAAACAGTCATAGAGACGCATACAACGGGACACACACACTTTAATGACCGTCTAAACTGTAAAGTGCAGTGCGGAGTAAGGGCTTTGGAAATGCCATTTGCAGGCTAATAACATCAAGACCGTAGCAGTATCACACAGCATCCACGGCTGCGTCTGTGTGTGCCTCTAGTGGCCGGAAGGTGCGACAGTCAGGTCCAAATGTTAGCAAATCTTTCACTTTAATAATGCTTGGAGTCGGGGCTGGCTCACCGATGCGAAACCTCACCTGCCTGGAAGCGGGACACTCCCTCAGCATTCAGCACTGGCTTTGCCCCCCAGAGTGGCTTGACTCTGAACCTGACTCAATCAGGTGGTCCCTGTTCCCCAACCAGATGAGCTAATTCAGCCACGGAATTAGCTGGGTGATTGGGAGGCTCTTCCCTGTGCCTGAGCAAGACTGTGACAGCAGCAGGAAAGCATAGAGCGAATGAGATGGGCTCTGCAGAAAAGTGACAGTTCCCAGAGCACTGCAGAGAAGCAAGCACAGGATGCCTCCGGCGTGTTTTCTGGAAATGTCTGTAGTCGGAAAAAGAAACATGAAATTGAAAAAGCAGCACTTGTTGCCTCTGTAAGGTGCCTGCCCTGATTTCCACTCCGGACTCGGGGCAGGGTGGAGTGGGGAGCAGAGGGTGACGTCTGAAAGTCTCCCCGCGGGCGCGGGAGCAGCGGGTTCCCTGTTTTCCTGCTCAACCCGCCCATTCCCAGAACTGCTGTAAATGCGCGTTGCTCTGACAGGCGACACGCAGAGTGTCCACCGCGGCCGGAGGCGTGTGTCAAGCTGACGGCAGCCCCGCCGGGTCCTGGGGGAGCTCTGACTCGAGGGGCACCAGAAGCTGCAGGCGCGTGGCCGTGGGGCCGTGTAGGCCGCCGGGTGGGGCGCCGACCAGGGGTCCTCTGCCTGGAACGTGGCCACGTCGGAGCAGGACCCGTAGGCGAGGCTGTAGGCCGCACTGGAGGGGGTGGCGGCTCTTGGGGAGCGTGGCAGGTTGGGGGCGCATGGGGGGCCCCCCCGTGGGCACGGCAAGGCAGGCTGGGGCGGCGGTGCAAGCCCGTGTGTGTGTGTGTGTGTGTGTGTGTGTGTGTGTGTAATGTGAGCCCGGTCGGGCCCTGCCCTGTCTTTGCTCCCTTCCTGTGCCCCTGCTTTTCCCGCATCCTCTACTAGGTTCATGAAACCAGCGGAGACGCAGAGCAGCTGTCGGGATCCCTTCGCCGAGCACGGACTGTGTTTGCCGGGCACCGGGGATGCAGAGGGCTCGGCCGTGCTCTGGCGACCACGTGCAGCGTTACGGGGGACACGGCACAGGGCCCTCGAGGTCGGCTTGCGCTGGGATTTGAAGCGAGGGGGGAGGGGAGCTGGAAGGGCAAGGGGGCAGGGAGGGGTGGGTGTGCAGGGCCAGGAGGGCGGGTGGGCTTGGGTTTGAGGGTCCCAGCTCCGAGCTGAGGCACGTGAACAGCACCCTGAGGTTGCAAGAACTCCCGCCCGTTTGAACGGCAGAAGGAGATCAGATCACACTCGCACCGCGCTCACTCGCCGGGCGTTTACCGCGTGCCCGCTATGTGCCGGCTCGGGAATTCATGGTCAGACAAGCAAACGTCCCCCGTCCTGTGCCCTCCAGCCTTCGGGTGGTGACCGGTGAACGAAAAACACCCTAAACAAGCCACCCAGAGACAAGGAGGATTGTGTCCAGCGCCGGGCGAGGGGGAGGAAGGAGACTGGGCGTGCGGGTGAGTGCGGCAGGGTGTCCTCGCGGACAGGGGACAAGCCAGGGTTTGGGCTAAGACTTGGCGAGAAGCCAAACCAGGGCGGCTCCAGGTTTCACTGGACGTTGTGGAGATAAGGTGCTCTTAAAAACTTGAGTTTCCTTCAGGTACTTAGGTGTGAGAGTAAACAGTAAAATCGACTTACTGACATCGTGCCCTCTCTTCACCTGCCCTGGTGCTGGCCTGAAGTTCCGTGTGTCTCAGGTGACCTTCCAGGGCGCCGTGGACCAGCTCATTTTCATCTCGTGGCCGGAGCCTGGGGTGACGGGGCCGGTGGCCAGGCCGCGGCTCTTCTTGGCCTCCGCCGTGTGTTTCGCTCTGTGCCGAGTGCTGCTTTGTGTCCCCGTGAGGAGGCCGGGACGATTCTGTGTCCTGTCCCTTGAGTCTGACTTCAGGGGTAACACACTAAGTACCTGGTGTCTTTGTCTGAGAGGCTGACGATATGGCAAATGATCACAAGAGGAGATGTCGGTGATGCTCGGAGAGCGAAGCAGGTTTGCAGAATCGCACCCCCAGCTGCTTCCAGCAGACCCGCACCTGGGACCGTGCTCTGTCTCGAAGACCGGTTCTCCCAAGACCCCGCTTCCTATACTTAGGAGCAGGACTTCGAGTTTTAGGAAAGCCCCTTGGAACAGGTAGAAAGAGTCTGCTTGGGTCTTGTATTCGGTCGTGGGGTGATTTTCACCCTTGAATTTCTGCGGGAAGAAAACACGGGCGGTTTGCACCGTGAATGTACCAATGGTGCAAGGTAGGTGTTTTAGTTTGACGTTTTCTCAGGTGCCTTAGGGAGCTCGGGAGAAACCTCTGCACAGTCCTGCCTGCATTCACTCCGAATCCCTTGGCAAAGGTAGGGCTAAGGAAAACCTCGGGATGGTTTGCGTTGTGAAGATGGTTCGTGGGACGGAGCCGGGATGGTGTGTGGGGTTGGTTCATCGTACGCTGCGATCCCCCCACGCTTGGTTACTACTGTCTGCAGGTTTTTAAAGACGTCCGAGTTTCCCTTTATCTCAACCCAAAATGAACCTGCCACATGTTTATTTATTTATTTTTATCCGAGATGCTCTGCCTTGCCCAGAAGCTCCAGCGGGAATAGTTTCGTAGTTGTTGAAACGGTGATTTTTATTAGGCTGTTAGGAAGCGTGTCTAAAACCACACGGACCCGCTCAGACTCTCCTGTTCCCTTCCAGAGCTTTCCCTCATTTTGTCAGGTACGTGGGCACCTGCGGTTAGTAGGACAGCGCCTCCCTTTCCTGGTGAGGGAGACGAAGAGAAGTGTCCGAGGCAGAGCCGTCCAGATGGTTCCAGAAGGGACGCCTCTTCCAGGTTGCCGAGCCAGGCAGTCAAGGAGCCGTGTGCTTGCTCTGACGGTTCTCACGGCGACTGATAGGACTTGGCACGCTGCTGTTCCTACCACACTCTTTATTCTTGATTTGTACCTTAGGAGGATTCCAAAGGAAAAGAAACGCATAAGCATGACAGCATTCCCCGTGAGGAACGGGATTCTGTTTTTTACGCCAGAGCGGGGAAGAAGAAGACGCTGGTGGAACCCTCATTCCAAAGCGGTTCAGGTGACGTGAATTTCCTTTGGCTGCCGGCATTAAAAAATGCTACCCTTTTAAGACGGTGTTTTGTTTCGGGGCCAGTTTCACCGCAAAGATATGACTTGTGACTATCTGGTTTTAACACTCGATGGGTGACTATCTGGTTTATTAATGAGACATTCGGCTCGAGGGGCCGTGGTGGTGAGAGGAGAAAAACAAAATCCCAGTGCCGAAGGCAGTGGGGCTCTCGGACCAGGAAGCCCTGCCAGATCAGTACGGCAATTCTGGGCCTCCGAGTACATCAGGGCGGGACGTGCTCTCCCTGAGGACCAGGCAGGCAGTAAACAACCCACAGACAAGTTAGCCTTTGGAGGGAGACGTGAAACTAAAATCCGTCTGAATGGTTTAGGCTTATCTTTTGAGTCGGAGGGACATTTAAAAGATTAAACTTTGGAGCTGATTTTAACATGAAATAATTCCAAAAATACTTGCTCAGCTCCTGCTTCTACTCTGCGGAGACCTGGCTGGGAGGGGCCTGACTCCTGGTTTGGAGGGGCCAGACTGGCTGGGAGGGGCCTGAGCCTTGGCTGGGAGGGGCCTGACTGGCTGGGAGGGGCTTGACTGGCTGGGAGGGGCCTGAGCCTTGTCTGGGAGGGGCCTGACTTGCTTTGGGCGGGGCCAGACTGGCTGGGAGGGGCCTGAGCCCTGGTTGGGAGGGGGCCTGAGCCTTGGCTGGGAGGGGCCTGACTGGCTGGGAGGGGCCTGAGCCCTGGCTGGGAGGGGCCTGACTGGCTGGGAGGGGCTTGAGCCTTGGCTGGGAGGGGCCTGACTGGCTGGGCGGGGCTTGACTGGCTGGAGGGGCCTGAGTCCCGGCTGGGAGGGGCTGAGCCCTGGCTGGGAGCCAGCCCCATGTTCCATCAGCATGTGTCACGGGTGTTTCGACGGTGGCTGGTTACGCAGAGGATAGGAGCCCGGAAAGGAGGGCTCCCCTTTGCTTCTCGGCAGTATTTGACGACTTTTGGAAGTCATTTTTCTTAGAGCCCCTCCCTCCCCTGGTGCTCCCTTCGGTTTCCTCCATTCTCTGCTCTGATTGTATCTTGGCTTCCCGGGAACCCTCTGCTTGTTTCCAGGCTACAGACTTGAAGGTCTTCCTGCCGCCTCTCCTGCTCCCCGCCCTCCCCCTTCGGACCTTCCCATCCCAGATGAAGGTGTCGTCCTGCTGTGTGCCAGGCTCGGGTCTGCACGTGGGGCGCTCAGACGTCCCTCTGTAGCCAGTGTTCCTGGCCGGTGGGCACGGCCCACGCCGTGTTCTGATACAACCCGACCATGGCCGGGTTGGGCCTAACACCAGAGCCTACTGAGCCTACAGTACTGTAGGTTATACTAGAGTACTGTAGATTATACCGCAGAGCACTGGAGGTTATACTCCGGGATACTATAACACATCAAGAGTAATAGAGAATTTAATCAGCACACGTAAAATGTCTTTCTTGGCAAAGCCTGTCCCACATGGCTTGGGCTGCCCGGCGTGTCTCAGACCTTCCCTCTGGGAAGCCGTGTGCTGTGCTGGGGCCCAGGTTCCGGCCGTGGCCCTCCCAAGCCTGGGGCCCTGGGCAAATTCCTGATCTGCCAATGGGCATGGTGGTTTTGTGGGGGGCTTGCATGAGTGTTAGTTGTCCAGCGGACAGAAGAGGGCCTGGAACACGTGAGGTACCCGTGGATGCCACCCTCTGCCTTCTCCTTCTCCTCATCCCTTCTCTGGGAGCAGGGCCCCCCATAGCCCAGGACTGGGGGACGGTCCTCCTGGGGCTGAGGGCCAGGAAGGGGAGGGGGGAAGGACAGGAAGGAGTGGGATGAGCTGTGGCCCATCCCGTGTTGGGTCACTGAGCCCATCACGGCCACGGTTACACCCTCTGGGTGTTGAAGGAAGCGGCTGCCTCCTTTTCTTTTTGCTGTCACTTTTTGCTGGGGTGAGGATAAAGTTTTCGAGAACCTCGGGACTTTGTAAGCAGTAATCCACCCCATCGTAATGCCGATGGGCTGATTCTTGCCTGTCGGCTTAGCTGACTACCTCGCAGGGCACAATTTTAACAGCTCGTTTGTTAGAACTCATTTTGTCCAAACCCAGACTCCTTTCGCTCATTACTTCCAAATAAGTTCTTGACGTAATTTTGAAGTAACAAAGGTACATGTGCTCAGAATATGATTCTGCTGCCCGGGGGTTGCTTTGTGTTTATTTCTCACTGAGCTGACTGGACACGCGCTGGTTGAGCGATCACCGTGTTTCATCCGCGGGACTGAGTCCCGTGGTGGGTAGGACACAGCGATGACCGTGACTTCAGGGTCTAGGAGCTTTGTGGAGACAGGGGTGTGGACGCGGGGCCCCCGGGCGGGCCGCCCCACGTGACCACGGCACGGCAGGCTCAGAGGACGCCAAGCTGTGACGTCGGTTTGGGACAGAAGCTGTGCGGTGGCCATTGGCCCAAGAGCCCCACGTATGTTGTTTTTCTCCAGAAGGTGACGTGTTTAGAGCCCAGACTCCAAGCGCGGATACCCAGGAGGCGCCGGAAGTCAAAGAAGACAGCAGTTTGCAGGTGGAGGTGCCGGTGGACCAGGTGGGTAGCTGCTCCACGAGACCATGTCCCCCGCCTTCGATTCAGCCCCTGCCGACTGCGGTCTCCTCCTCCTCCCCTCCCCCCGGCTCGCCCGGCCTCTGGAATGTTCTGTGCCCTCTCCAGTCAGCTACTGTGTATCCTACATCACGTGTTTTCCTGCCCGCCCCTCTCCCTGGAGGGTTCTTTTGCTATTGGGACCCTTCCGAGCGCTTGTCACAGTTTGTGACCGCAGAGTTAGCTTTGTTGTTACTGGATGAGGCAGGGGACGGCCTGCTGTGCTCACGGGCACAGTTTCTGATGGGGAGGGGGCCCTTGATAACCACAGGGGGATGACCGGGTGATGGAACGAGAGGTGTACGGGGTCATGTGATTGGGAATCACAGGTCATCGACTTTCTAGCTTTCTGACCTCAGACCCCCGACTCCTTATCCACGTGGCGGCGGGGTGGGGGGGACGTGTGAGTGCCTGGTATAGGGCCTGATGCATGCTGGGCCCCTCTCTCTGCTTCCTTCCTTGGGGCTCACGGAGGCGTGACATGGAGTGTGAGGAAGGCCCAGGAGAGGTGGAGGGAAGTGGGGAAGGTGTGAGGAGTGAGCCTCAGCCTGCACAGGAGCAAACGCACGGCGGCCTGGTCCCCCCTGCTTCCCGCCCAGCTCGGCCCCACGCCCCCTGGGAGTGCCCGTCATGTCTGCACGGGTCTCTGGCCCCAAGCCCTGCTCCTGCCCGGGGCGGGCGGGCTGGGTGGGCTCTAAAACGCACAGCTTTGCCCGCAGTATCTGCCCGAGAGCACGTAAGCACATTTCTCATCCTCAGTCTTTGAGAAAACAGCGTATCTTCTGCAGAAGGTCCATGTCTGCATCCGAGTGTCACCTTCGTCCTTCGGGAACGGACGCGGCCCCAGCCCTGTGCTTACGGTCACAGAGGACCCGGCTGGGGCGACAGTGACCTCCTGGCTCCTCTTTTGAAAATCAGTCACTCTTAATTTTCTCCCTTTATTATTGACCTCTGATATTTTTCTTTCCGGGGACACGTTCACAAACTTTACAGGCCGTGTCAAGTCTCTAGCACTTCCTGCGGCATTTTGAGCACGTTCCCCACGTGTCCCGTTGTAGTTTCTAAATCGCGAGTAATGTTCTTTATTCCTTTCTCCGACGTGACAGTGACCAAAAGATTTCGTTTTCTCATAAAATCCCGACTAGCGGGTTAAGTATTTCTACTGCACCTTTAAGGAATTTCTGTAGTAAATAAATTAAGACATTTTAGGCAGTCCCTTTCATACCAGAATTAGCACCCCCCCCCCCCCCCCCCCGTCCAACGTTGATTATTTTCCTTGGTAAGTTACTGTTCTGGGCTGTGGACTCAGCGTCTGATGCAAGTTTTAAACACAAGCGAACCCCTGGTGTCACGAGTACTATGTGCATCACCGTGATCGATACACGTACTGCTGACTTCCTGTTGCTGGTACCGCATTTGATTTCCGCTGTATCCGTGGCCGTGTGGTGACTTGGCTTCCCCAGAGGGGTGTGTGTAGGGGGAGGAGAGACGGGCAGACCGCAGGTGCTTGTCCGTGGAGGGGAGTGGCGGGGGTGAGGGAGGCGCTCGGAGAGAGGAGGCTGGCGCCACGGCGGGGGAGCCCAGGGCGGTCAGAGAGGATGGCTGTTGTACTGCCCTCTTTCTCTGTCTCTCTCTTTTATTTATTTATTTATTTATTTTTCAACGTTTATTTATTTTTGGGACAGAGAGAGACAGAGCACGAACGGGGGAGGGGCAGAGAGAGAGGGAGACAC